CTTAATCAATGAAAGGTACATTGATAGGAAAAGGTGAGCTGCTTAACTACTTGGAAGACGTGGTGGGCAGCTATACTACCATAAGACAAGAAATCAAGATTAAGAAAGTTCGGTCCATATGAGTTTGAATTTGTCGTAAACTTTGGTTTTAACAAATTCACATGGATAGGAACACATACACCATTTAAATCTAAGTGTCATAAGATTTCCTCCTTCATGAAAATGATTGTGAGGAAATGCTTTCACTAAGAAAGATTTTAAGAAGATAGTGATTGTAAAGTTGCATTCTCGAATTCAATCATGGTTACGGTATCCCTTTCCATAATTTGAATTGTGATGTTTGGCGATTAGTCTTAATTGTTAAGACACACATATGCATTATCTAAGGCAAAAGTGTATAAGTTCAAGAAGCCTTGATAAAAGATTATCAAAACACTAAGTATTAGAAACATGGACTTAAGAAATTCAATAGGTATTGTCTTTCTGAAAGTTAAGATGTTTATGAATACATGTCAAAGCTAGTGGGAGCATAAGTGTTATGTTTTATAGTAATCATCATAATAGTGGGAGCATAAAAGTTATGATTGTATGATTATTATGGAAAGTATTGCAAGTTGGCAATATTAATTATAGAAAAACAAGAGTTATACCTTGCAAAGTCGTAAGGGTTGTAAATTTGTTTTGCTATAATTAAGGGAGAGAATATTATGCTTCATTTCAAATCTAAAGGCTTAGGTTGGGAAATGTTAATAAATTTAGTCAAAGGTACATAGTATGTTCTTAAAATTTCGATTATGATTACGGCATTCCTTTTCACAATTCGAATTTTAAGAACATAGCAAATAAAACATTGTGCATCGTGTCCCATACGCTTCGGGTATAGGATCGATTGCAAATGCTTTAATGTTTGACCATTCTAAAATTTTCCAAAGGTCTAGTGCATTTAGAGGGAAAAGGGACTATAATTGGTTTTGACTAAAATAATTAAACAACTATCAAAGGACAATCCAAAGTTCGACGAGGATTGGTCGCTTGTAAGTAGTTGGAAGTATAGTATTGGAAAAATATGGAAATGTTTCCATATTGGATGGACCATATCGACATCATTACAAATAGAAAAGATTCTATTAAGAATGAGTTGTCATGAGGAAAATATGGAAGCGTGTTCATATTAGGAAGTAAATATTGAAAATCTATGTCTAGATTAAAAACTTTTATGCAAAAGGATGTTCAAAGGAATGTACTTTGAGTGAGAGACATCATATCTACGGAATTGTCTTGTAACAATCTCCGATAGAGGACTTTGTAATATCATTGACAATAGTCTTTGTGACTTTGGTGCAATGACATTACGAAAGAATCATTGCATAGGATGTTAGAATCTAGCATATTCTATAAGTAGCAAGAATTTGATATTCTTTCACTTATGAAAATGGATTTGGAGTTGTGAAATGAGAATGATTGGAAATGTGTGCAATTTGTCTATTTCACAAAAGTAAGAACTATAGGTAAACATTGTGTGCATGCTAGGTGCATGGGACAAGTGTAATAATTCACGTAAGAAGTTGATTACCCGAAACAACAAATAATGAGTAATCAATATGGTGATAAATAAAAGGCATTTTATTTATACTCAAAGGTTTGAGGCCATATGGGATTAGTATTATTCTTGTGTTTCACATTTGCATGTTTTGACTTCCAGAATAATTGAGTTTATTAAGAATAATCGAATTATTCGAACGGGCCACAGTCATTCATATGTTGGAAGTAGATATGAATGAAGACTGTCGTGAATTGGTGTGTGGATTGTCTAGAAGAGTATTAGACATAAGCAAATGTTTGCTGCAACGTTCATGAGTGCTTATGAATATGATTTGAGCATTGGATTAAACCCACGCTCACTTGGATCACTCCATGAATTGTATCACGAGTGATTAGTGAGACGATAACATCTTATATTCTTGAAACTGAGATGTGTGAGTTGTATCTTGCGAATCGGTTGCACATTGATAATATGTAAACGCACTAGTAACTTGGTGTTATAAAACATATTGTTGTGTGTAATTCGGTGAATGAGTGCAAGCAAGCATTGTATTAAAGTTTATCCATTCCTTTTATTCAAAGAATAAAAGCGATATCTTTTGGGCCCCTCGATGGTTTAGTGATGATAAACGTACATGCTTGGCCGGGCTAGGGCTAATTTGATTTGTTCAATTAGTCAGTCGTCATAAATCGGAAATCGAGATATAGTACAAAGAGAACGATTTAAAATCATATCTCATATGATATCTAGAATGGAGGAATATATGATCCCTTATCTAAGGACACTCGTATCTGATAGGATCAGAGTTGACAGCGGCTTTGGAAAGCTACGATTGCAGATCAGGATCTGAAGTCATACGCAGAATAGTTATTAGACTTATCCAAGTGGGAGACTGTTGGATTAGTGTCTAAGTCCATAACTATTTTGGTATGTACTTGACCCGATGGTGCATGGTCCTTTTGGGTTGCCTTCACCAAAGCAACTTGATTGGAGAAATAAATAAAGAGAGAGAGGTTATTATGATTTATTAATATGTTATAAGAATAATATATTAAAGGAGAAATCATATTTGCTTAATTAATATTGGTCAATAATTAATTAGGAATTAATTTTGTGATCAAGTGTAATTAATTAAACTAGAGGGGCTGAATTGTAATTATGTGATAGTTACAAAATATGGTAATGGTTATCCTAAATATGGGTTGAACGAATTCAAGGAGATAAGGATCCTTGAAATCGTCCAAAGGATAAAGGATAAGGGTTTTCAAGGCTTATCTTATGGTTGTTTTGTGGATAAGCAACTAGATAAGGATAATGACTGAAACCCTATCTCTACACCTATATAAAGACCCTAAGGCCTTAGAATTCGTGTACTTGTTCCCAAGAAGTCCTAAGGACGAATTCTAACCTCTCTCCTCTCTCTTTATACCTTCTCCATTTGCTCTTGGTGTTTGTAAGCCATTAGAGGAGTGACACTTGTGACTCTAAGCATTCCAAAGTCAATTCAAGGAGGAATTGGGATTGTTATTGCTATATAACAATCAAGGTATGTTCTTAAACCCATTCATATGTTAATATCGATTTCATATACTAGAATTAGGGTTTATAGTCTTGGATAACTTGCATTTACAATAGAGAAACCTAGATCCAAGCTTTAGGGTTTGTATGAGCACATAGGATGTCTTATGACTAAAACCCATCAGAATCGACTTAACATTATATATTAGTAAGTGTATTGGTAAACTGAGCTAGTCATGGTTAACAAGTTAGAAACTTGATTTGATATCGAGCTATCAAGCTAAACTAGAGCTTAATTAGGACTCATTTAATAAATGTGCTTTAGCCGGCTTCTATAAGTGAATTTAAAGATGTCAACAAGATCAAACATGAACCGAAATAGTTGTCATCACCCAGACCATGAATTCGACTGTTTCCTTTTACCCTAATCCCGACCTCGAATTCCCCCATTTCCCGATCCCACCCCGACTTTAAAGACTACCCACAATCCCACCCCTGTTTCCCCCGAATCCCCCTATTAACACCGTTTGGCCCGAAATCTTCCATTTGACTTTATTTTTTAATTCATTTATTTCGTTTAGCTTTACATATTATACTAATTATTCAAATACAAAACATATATTACACAATGACTATGGTAATTATTTCGAGGGACCTGCAAGATATTCGGGACGAAACTCATTCCGAACCTGAAATATTATAAATTATCCCTAAACACAAACTAGGTCCCATGGGTTTTTTTTTTGCTAGCCTGGTATAAATATATAATATAATATAAAACCGATATTGTAAATTTTTTGTACTAAATTAGTAAATTACAAATAAATATTAAATAAATAAGTTATTATGAATATTCTAATAATATCTTAGGGTTCAAATTCTGGTCATAACCGCCTATTTCAAATTCACGCCTTTTTCTCTCTAGCTATATATAGGGTGAGTAAGAAGAAGCTTCACCGCGAAGACACAACAGTCGGCAATCGGCATCGTCTCTCTGCTCTCGTCGCCATTGAACAGGTATGGAATAGCCACTTTCCATTTTATGTTCTCTATTTTCCATGAAAATGCTGCGAACATGAGTACGATGTGAAACCTGGCAACATAATTCTCTCTTCTTTCATCTATAAGCTGATACTATTCACTCTTCAGATTTCGCTGTTGACTTGTTGTACACTTTAAAGGTTTGCAGGCACCGTATCTGCTGCAATCTTCCATCGCCTGCTCCTCCACAAGAGATATTCACTCTTCGCTTACCAGGTGTTATTATTATTCACGTTACGTCATTCCATTTTTCAATTCGATCTTCTCGTTTCGTGTTTTTGTTTCTGTTTCAAAGATGTGCTGAACGATGAATTGATTTCTATGGTTGAATGTTTAATTAATTGGTTGTTGATTTCATAAAATCGGACTTCAATTTCATCGTTCTGTTACAGAGTACATATTACAATATTCACATTACATCATTCCTTGTTTCAATTCGATCTTCTCGTTTCCTGTTGTTTCTCCATCATTGATGTGCTGAACAATGAATTTCTTTTTAGGCGTACATGTTTAGTTATCTGTTTGTTGATTTTATAAAATCAGATCTCAATTTCCTTCAATCTGCAGCAGAATACTGCTCACATTTAGGGTTTTACTAACATCTGCACAGATATGGAATAACTTTGTCCACATAGATCAATCATATATTCTCAGTTTCACCATTTATGACTCATCTTTCAAGGCAGCAGCTTCTTCTATGTCATCATCTTTTGTGCTCCTGATTAGTGTCTTACTATCTTTTATTCTTCACTCAGATTTTCATGGAAATAACAGTTTAAACTTCAATTCTTAAACCAGGATGGGAACTACTGCGATGACCCCTGGATTCATATTTTACATAAGTGCGATCTATCAGCTACAATTCATACAATCCCCAGGAGGACTTGCAAACATTCGCATGACTAATGAGTTCTTGTTGTTCATCATACCTGCCATAACTTCCCAATATATCTCCATGGCTGTTAAGATGGTTGAGATGAGTGTGGGACCCACAACCTGGAAAAAGCTTGAGGACCATGCAAACAAGGCAATGCGTGTAAAAGCAATCATTGAGTTGATAGCAGTTCATCAAATGTGTGTTATGGTTGTAAGTGACAAACCCTATTGGATGAGGTTTGTTGTTTTCTGGGCAAGCATTGGGACAATGGTTTTCATGCATGTAAGCTTCTGGATGTGGTCAAAAGAGGTAAAAACAGACCAAGTAGAGAAAGGTGGATTGTCTGCAGTAAAGAATCAAGTATGATTGATGATGATTAAGAGGTATGTTTAATCTTCTTCTACTATTGCTACTGAGTTTTTTGTTTGAAGTTTGAACATTTGACTAGACCAAATTGTGTGAATGACATTCAGTTTTTGATTTGCTTCCATTTTAGTCAACTAAAATCATGGACAACTATATTGTTCATAACACAAGTTTTTAACAAGAGTGGAAAGTATTATTAATTGTTGTTTTCTATTGATAGGTTATGTAATATATATTTTTGTCAAAGACACAATGATTTTTCTTCATCATATTGGTTGTGAGAATGTGTGGTAGATGACTCCTAACGAGTGGTGTAATCAAGGTTGTACTAGTCAACGTGTCAAGTAGGTTATAGGGACTAATCTGCGTAGGCAGGGATTAATCAAGGACTTAAATTATAAAATAATTTATTTATAAAACAATATCATCAATAATAAGTAAATAACCAGTATTCAGGTATTTATGTAACACTAATACCATGAGAGAGATATAGATAGAGACAGATGTGAGAGGGAAGAGAGAAAGCATATTATTATTAGGTATTAGTATATATTAGTATATTACTATATTATATTCTAATAAATCTTTTTTATTTTTTTTTATTTTTATTGTTATTATTGATTTTTTTAAATTCTTTAAATTTTGACAGTTTTAGACCGATTTTTATTGAATTTGATTAGCCGTAGTTTTAGTGTACTCTTTGTTTGGATACTAATTACTATTTAGGTTTGGGTCGTGTTGGATAGTTGTAGTATACCTGGATTTCTAATTAAAAAAAAAAAAGTAATTTGAAGCACCCATTTTTTATAACAAACATTGCTATTTTTTTCTTGGTTTCATATAAAAATCGTATTAATATTTCATGATTTATATATTTTTATAAACTGTGCTTGGTTCCTACTCTAGATTGTATTATATATATATATATATATTAATTACCAAAGTTGGTATGTGAGGATTTTTACTATTCATTTCAACTTTTCATTTCGATTTCCTTTTGCTTCTCATTTCTTTTTCTTAACCAACGATTGTACTCACTTCCTTTGCTTTTACTAATGTCAGATCAAAACCAACTAAGTCCATATCAAATTACAACTCTTACAGAATATAATATAAGCTCTAAAATAAACATTTTCCTAAAAATAACAAATTTACGCTTCTGGTAATAAAAAGATTCTTACATTTACATTTTCTTTACAACTCTTACAGAATATAATATAAGCTTTAAAATAAACATTTTTCTAAAAATAACAAATTTGCTTGTAATAAAAGAATCTTATATTTACATTTTCTACCCTAAAATAATTTTGATTAAACACAATTTATCCTTCGTAATTTTAAACTTAAATTATTGGTAATTTTAAGTTAAGTTTTTTGGTTCCTTACATAATTGTTTTTATAGTTTTCATTTTTACTAATATTATTTTTTTATTTAAAGGTTAGTTAATACGTTTAAAATACATTTTTAAATTTTATTTTATATACCTCATCCATACATAATTGTTTGCTTTTAAACCTTATTTTATATTTTTATGATTCATTTTGAAAAGAAGTTCCCCGCCGCAATACGCAAAAATTTCTCTGAAAAACCTTATCCATGTTGAATTGCGTTTTTAACATACTAGGTTTCCGCAGCATCGCGCGGACGGTCCAAACCTAATATATATTAATTACCAAAATAGGAGTGTGAGGCAATTCACTATTCATTCCACGTAAGTAAGCTTAATCATTTTTTAAGTTTTCATACTTCGCGTTCTTTTTACATTTTTCTCCCTTTATTTTTATTTGTTTTTATATTTTGTACCCTGAACTAATTTTGATATAACAATTTTTATCCTTATAGTTTTAAAATTTATATATATTTATATTCTTTCTCTTTAATTAATATTTATTTAACAGTTTTCATCCATTATAATTTTAAAGTTAAATTATTAGTATTTTATACATTATAATGTCAATTGTTTGTATCCATATTTTATTTTGATATTTTTGTGTTCCACTTTACATGATTTAATTATCTCAATGGTATATATGGTGTCAAACTACATTTTTTTAATATACGGATCTTCCGCAGCAACGCGCGGATGGTCTAAACCCTAGTTTCAATCAATTTGTAATTACTTAAATATTTCATGTTTTATATTGTTCAAGCATGGTTTGGGATTATACTAAATGAAAGAGAAATTAAATATTCTCCTACATTTTGTTCCTATATATCTTCGTACCCAATTAAATTGTGACATGTGTAAAATTTAATGAAATTTAAAAATATTTTAAGATATTAATATGACACATGTCATCATTTAAATGGATAGGAAGATTGATAAAAACAAGATGTATGAGGATATTTAATTTCTCTTAAAAAATGTGTGCTTAGTTTGATTTAATTAAGTCATGTTTGTACTGCCGTATCTTTGGAATTTAGTTTAGTTTCGTACCACAATCTATTTAAAATGATACGTGATATTTATATTCAGCAGTCCAACGTGGAAGTATTAGAAACACTTTAAATATTATAAAGGCCCAAATATGTTAAAGTATTAAAAACTCCCTTAACTAGTCCAACGTGAGTTTTAGAAAATTTCACGATATTCGTATAACCCGATTTATAAAATGTCTCATCTCATCATCTCATATAAAGGTATAAGAGCATACGGTATGGGCCAAAAACGAGAGGCAACATGCTGATGTGGCATGCCTCAACGACATCATGACGGGGGAAACACCGCCCCCCTACTCGTTGCTTCTCGTCGTGTTACAACTCGTGCTCGTCACCGCCGAGTGAAACGGCGTTTCTTCTCCAATTCTTCTGTGTTTCTTGTTTAATTTTGCCTCACAACGGCGTTGTGAGTTAAGAACACCACCCCTTAAATTTGCCTCACAATTCAACAACGTTGTTTTTTGTTACCCGTACCATATAGTCTAAAGGAAGACGCCATCTCTATTGAATCTACTTTTGGGACATGTCAAATTGTCACATGTCAAAATGTCAATTTGTGCTAGTCATTTTTTTATATTTTTAAAATAGAATAATATTTACATGATAATTTTTAGATTTTTTTAATTTTTAAAATTAAAATCACATGATTTGTACTTATATATGCAAAATATTAAATGTAATATATGTGATAATAAATTGCAATTAATAAGTTTTTCATTCTTTATTTTAAAATTTTATTTTAAAAAATATTTATTGTTTACATTTTGATATTTAATTTTTTTTAATGAACCTGTGTATTAAATAAGTTTTACACCTAATTTTATTAATAAAAAAATTAATACAATAACTATTGGATCCCCACCTATGGAAAGTAAAATACCCATACGATAGCCCCATGAGCAAAAACAACCAGACTACAACATAAAAGTTAAAACAACAAAAGAAAGGAGGCCAAACAAGCTCAAAAACAAATACATTAATTTAAAGAAACATAAGCAACACATGACACAAAGACAAGGGAAAAAACAAATCTGTGGATGGAAAATTGAGATGAGTGCTCAATAGTGGTATATTCATTCTTTAGAAGGAGGTTGCAAATGACCTTTGCAACATTTAGGGAGGGCCCATGAATCACGCTCAAGAGTCTCGAACTCCTAAGGTTTTCCCTTATTCTTAAGTATATCTTATTGTTTCTTTTGACCTACATATGGTAGACGATATTTGTACGAACTAATAAACGAATGATAAACCAATTTCTCCTACCTTTTGTGGTTTGCTAGAAGGTATTGATGATGTCGATCTATTTGTTTGTTGGGAACATTGTTGAGATTCATTTTGGTTCTCCCACAAGCCATTGGAAACTAAAGATACAACAAAACATTGGGAAGGGTAATGGTGATCGATTGTTCATTCATACAGACCTAACGATCCTATGTATTTTCATGGTTGTATTGATTGTTGGAAAGAGTGTGGAACCCTGGGAAAAGGTCTAGAAGCATGCAAATAATGGTATCTTTTTAGTCAACCCCTTATGTATTCCAATTATCTTTGTGGCGATAGTTATTCATAAATGTTCCTATGTTATGTCCTTGTCGATCCAACTCCCAGCTACTTAAATCTCATGACAAACTAGCCGCATAAGCAAAAATCTTTGGTGATTTTCCTACTATTTTAGAGTGTGATAATGACATCAATGATGATGTCATCACAAATAATGACTTTGGTAATTTAATGACACTTGCTTTTGGCGTTGGAACATGCCAGAATTTTCATGGTCAACAATGGAACAACAATCAAAACACATCGCTTCACTAAGATATGATGTTTTTAAGTCATCTAGGATCGTTAATAGACGAAACTGACTTTGTTCTATGTTAGTAAGTATTATTTTACATGTGTCTGAATTTCTTAGTTACAAATAGTTTTTGATTAGGAGATAATTTGCTAATCAAATTCAAATTGTAGATTATATTAATTTGATTAATTTCCGGTATAAGTATCTGTTTTCTTTATTTAGGAAGTATCTTTTTGTAGATTATATTAATTTGATTAATCAAATTCAAATCGTAGATTATATTAATTTAAACATATATCTTAATTTGATAGTGTTTTTTGAACATATAATAGTTAAATGATGTTTTTTGAATAAATTTGAAACTTAATTATCCCTAAAATTATGTATCTTTATACTAGGTGGAATTGACGTTGTTTTTTTTTTTTTTTTTTTTTTTTTTTTAATTGGGTCCGTAGGATATGAAGGGGATGTAACTTTGAATTTAGAGAAATTGAATATTTAATACTTTTTAGGGTTTTTGACATTAGAGTCCTTAAAATTTTTTTTACTGGCATAATTGTTGTACATTTGTGATTTTGTCATAGCATATGATAAACTAAACTATCTTCTCAAAGTAAAAAATTATGATTAAACTAATTTAGTTAGGATTAAACCAGTTTGATTTTTAAAAACTTCAAGCATTCATCATCAATTTTCAATTCGACGAATATATATAAAATGTAAAAACATGTTAATAAATATGGAAAGTCATAATACTACATTATTAATATAATATGTTACAATAAAATAAGATTAGGAAAAGAAATTTTCGTGTGATGTCCATGTTTGTTTAAATTGTTTTACGCTATTAACTTCATTTATTAAACAACGAAACAATCTTATTCAACCGACTAAATATCAATTTTTGTAGTCGATAAATGCTTTTGCAATTTAGTTTTTTTATGTATTAATAATGTTTGAATTTGAATTTTTTTTTTCTAAAAATTATAGATAACTTTGATATAAAATATTTGAGAAAAAATTCATTTAAGTTAAAGAAAATCAATTTAGTTAAATTCCACATTATTATAGCAATCTTAGATTTTAGAAAACAAACAATCTTCTTCTTAAACCGGAGGGTATGGGAGGGAAACTTCCCTCACTTTTTGTAGGTCATACCCTTCTTTCCCTCACTTTAAACCCAATGAATGGGTGAGAAGTTTTTCCCTCACTTTTTTTTATTAAACAATTTTTTTTTATGATTTATAACTTTTAAATTAATACTAGACATAAAATTTAATTAAAAACAAAAAACATTTCATTAACTAAAATAAAAATTACATTAAACCTAATATTTGAATAAGGAGAAAAATAATTAATATCCTAATTTTATATAAACCAAAATACGTCATTCGGAATAGTTCCTTCCTCATTTGGAACCGACGTCGAAACTTTATAGCGTAAATGGCGTCATCTGCAAAATAATCTTCTATAAGGCGATCGTGTCCGGCTTCGTGATTTCTACGTAACAATAGCTTTCTTAGCTTAGGTCGTGCACGTGATGTTTCACCTAGTCGGTTTTGATATTATGCAACCATTTTCGCCATGACGGAACCAATAAACTTAGCCTCCTCTACAGCTGTCGAATCGGATGATGAAGATGATGACATTTTGAATAATATTTTTTGGAGAGAAATATAGGTTATGGGTTAAAAAAAAAGATAGAATGTTGTAGTTTGGAATAAAAAAAGAAAAAAATAATAATAAACAAGCCAATCATGTGTAGAGAGAGAGAGAGAGAGAGAGAGTGCGGGACTCCCTCCCCCTATTTTTCCCGCGTTTACTTTCCCGCACCCCCGATATGGTGTTTCTTCGTGCGGGATCGTTTCCTGCGGTTTCCCCGGTCGTCACTTCGTCCGGCCTTATATATTAGGGAAAATGACTCTTGAGGGTAATTAACTTTTGCGTTTGTACTCATTTGGTCAATTTCCTTTTTTTGTATTCAATATACTATTGAACTTGTTGTTTGTGTTCACCATAACCCTTTTTACCGACTTTTGACCTGTGATAGTCGGTCAAAGGGTTATGGTGAACATAAACAACAAATTCGATGGTATATTGAGTAAAAAAAAGGAAAGGGAACAAATGAGAACAAACTCAACAGTTGGTTACCCTCCTGAGTCATTTTCCTCGAAAAGTTAAATGAAATTAAAGTTGCAAAGTTATCAAAGACCGCAACCTTCTTTGGCTATAACGTATATGAAGAGTTTTTCAGAGTGGTAACTTCGTTAAAATATGGTTTATGCTATGCTTACTGTGGTTACCTATTAACACCTCTCTTTAAAAGGATATGATTGTGCATGAGAGGTATATTTATCAACATAAACGTTTACCTCAAGGTATATTATGGTGATGTGTCTGCAAAAGCAGCATGATATTGTACATATTGATGTTGTATCTCATCCCATGAATTCGATTTTAAAGCTAAGTAAACTCAAAAATCACAACACTTGTGATTCCACTCGTTTGTAGACTTGTCTAGAACCCATGATACGATAAACCATTCAATTGGAAATGTAAATGTAGTCATGAAATGCGTCTGCTTAGTCAAGATTCCCCTAATAAATATTCAAGTGCATTACAAAGTTGTACATGTATGAATAATGTTCTTTCGTGGGTTATGTTTTGAAGAGAAGCAAGAATGAATCTCATAAAGTTATTAATATCAGTAGGAGTTGACGTGAGATTTGCTGTAAATGAGTAAAAGGGAAATGACTCAGGAGGGTAACCAACTGTTGAGTTTGTTTTCATTTGGTCACTTTCCTTTTTTTGTACTCAATATACCATCGAACTTGTTGTTTGTGTTCACCATAACCCTTTTACTGACTATCACACGTCAAAAGTCGGTCAAAAGGGTTATGGTGAACACAAACAATAAGTTCGATGGTATATTGAATACAAAAAAAAGAAAGGGACCAAATGAGTACAAACGCAAAAGTTAATTACCCTCAAGAGTTATTTTCCCTATATATTACAGATGCTTGATTCATCATTTAGATTTAAAATATGATGATGGTATCAACAATGATAACATATGATGCTTTTCAGCTATTTAGGCTCGCTAAGGAGTAGAATTGACGTTTTCTATATTAATAATTATTATTTTACTTGTTTGATTTTTTTAGTTGACAATAACTGATATGTTCCACCTTTTACCTTCTAAAAACAAATATCACGGTCTCCAAATGCTTATTTAAAACAACTTAACACCCGATGTATAAAATTATAAATATATAGGGTCTTGATTTTGATCCTGAACTTCTGTTGAGATAACTAGGTTATAAATAAGTTTATTATCGATTTAATTTTGGAGTAAGTTAATTTTTATGTAAATTACATGAATGGTCCTTATGATTTGGGTTAATTTGCACGTTTGGTTCTTAACTAATTTTTTTAACTTGAAAGGTCCATACTGTTTGTTTTTGGTATGTGCTTGGTCCCTGCTGTGTTGTTTTCGTTACATGTTTGGTCCCTATCTTACCTAAAAACACTATTATTTAAATAGATAAAAATGATGGAGGTATGTAAGGTAAGGTGAAGGGGTGAGATTGGGGGTGTGTTTATTTAAATAAATGAAAAAATCAAGGGCAAAATAATCTTTTTAGGCAAGACAGGGACCAAGAGCGTAACAATAACAAACAATATAGACTTTCCGAGTTAAAAAAATAAGTTAGAGACCAAATACGCAAATTACCGTAAACCATAGGGACCATTCTTGTAGTTTACTATTAATTTTTTTTTGGAAACAACAAATATATTAAAAAGGGAAAAACATCAACTAGCAAGTAACTAGTAGAGGGCTCAAAGCAACATACAAAGGAGTTAGACTCTTACAAGCCAATAAAAAAGGACACTAACTACTCGTCCCAATTACATATTACCTTTTATGTTTAAGCCAATAAAAAACCATAATCTTAGGGTGTGTTAGGTTAAACACCTTTTAGTTTTTAGGAAAAATATAAAAAACTAAAAAATATTTGATAAAAACATAAAAACTACTTTCTGAGTTAACTTTTTTCAGCTTTTTGCAATCGCGCTTGAGACAAACACCCCCTTTATACATTGAGTCCCTTGCATCAATTATCAATGAGATAGGGAAAATGACTCTCGAGGGTAATTAACTTTTGCGTTTGTACTCATTTGGTCTGTTTCCTTTTTTTTTTTTGTATTTAATATACCATCGAACTTGTTGTTTATGTTCACCATAACCCTTTTGACCGACTTTTGACCTGTCATAGCCGGTCAAAGGGTTATGGTGAACACACACAACAAGTTCGATGGTAAATTGAGTACAAAAAAAGGAAAGAGACCAAATAAGAACAAACTCAATAGTTGGTTACTCTCCTGAGTCATTTCCCTTTTACTCATTTACAGCAAATCCCACGTCAACTCCTACTGATATTAATGACTTTATGAGATTCATTCTTGCTTCTCTTCAAAACATAACCCACGAAAGAACATTATTCATACATGTACAACTTTGTAATGCACTTGAATATTTATTAGGGGAATCTTGACTAAGCAGACGCATTTCATGACTACATTTACATTTCCAATTGAATGATTTATCGTATCATGGTTTCTAGACAAGTCTACAAACGAGTGGAATCACAAGTGTTGTGATTTTTGAGTTTACTTAGCTTTAAAATCGAATTCATGGGATGAGATACAACATCAATATGTACAATATCATGCTGCTTTTGCAGACACATCACCATAATATACCTTGAGGTAAACGTTTATGTTGATAAATATACCTCTCATGCACAATCATATCCTTTTAAAGAGAGGTGTTGATAGGTAACCACAGTAAGCATAGCATAAGCCATATTTTAACGAAGTTACCACTCTGAAACACTCTTCATATACGTTATAGCCAAAGAAGGTTGCGGTCTTTGATAACTTTGCAACTTTAATTTCATTTAACTTTTCGAGGAAAATGACTCAGGAGGGTAACCAACTGTTGAGTTTGTTTTCATTTGTTCCCTTTCCTTTTTTTACTCAATATAACATCGAATTTGTTGTTTATGTTCACCATAACCCTTTGACCGACTATCACAGGTCAAAAGTCGGTAAAAAGGGTTATGATGAACACAAACAACAAGTTCAATGATATATTGAATAAAAAAAAAGAAAATGAACCAAGTAAGTACAAATGCAAAAGTTAATTACTTTTAACAGTCATTTTCCCAATGAGATACCTTCTTTTGAAAAGAAGTATCATATGAATGATTTCGAAGAATAAAAAAAGGCAGAAGAAATTGTATATGTAAATTTCTTTTGAAGGTGCGTACACTTTCGTCTTCATCTCTCCCACTCCTTCTCGAACCTTCTTCTCCTCTTCTGTTACCGGTGAGACCACCCACCGCAGTCCGCCGCCACTCATTTTTCCCCCTATAACCCTTTTGCTGTTAACCTGAACCATGACAGCCCCAACGCGCTGCTGATACTCACAAAACACTACCACCGTAAAACTCTAAACACAACCATCAGTCTCACTCCATATCTCTCACCATAATCCGTACACCGCTGTCGGTAAGCTGTAGCACCACCGATTCACAAAACTAAATCCCAACTTCCACCGTTTGGCCATCCACAACCCCACTTGCTGAAAATCTCATCTATCCCGCCTTCCTGTGCGAACCTCCCTCTCCCTCTTTCTCGCTGGAGAACACAAGATGCTTTCTCTCAGTTCCACCACCACCACCATCAATTGAAACCTCTCTCCGTGTTTGTGTGTTTGCTACAAAAATCCCGAAAAACAATTCCCTCGTTTACTCTTTGAAATCCGTTGTTCGATTAACGTTTTAATCCTGCATTTCTTTTCAATTCTTGCAGGTTTGATTCTCACTTGAGAATCGCATTGGATTACAATAAAGTTTTTTGGGCATCATCAAGTACAATTTCATCCTTCTAATTCCAATGTTTGGGAATTGTGAGTTTTTGTGTTCAGTTTGCTGAAAATGGATTGGTATTGTTGTGGGACTTTAGGAGCACATAGTGCACTGATGTTGTTTGTTGAAATTTCAAATTCATCTACACTTACCACATTTACAGAAACTTTGATTCATGAAATTATTTAATCACACTGTCACGAATCTTTTCTCTGTTGAATCAAAGTTGAATTTTGTTGACTTGTCATTTATGTTTACATTTCATCTAAATGGTAATGGTTTAATTAGCAGGATGGATAATCAGAATTCTTTGACGATGATAGCCAGAGGCATGGTGTACAAGAGTGTGATATGTCTTTTATGGTTTCCAGGAGGACTTGCAAACATTGGGAAGATAGTTGGCGATTGGGTGTTCCTCCATGCAGACTTGGTAGCTCTGTATATCTCCATGGCTACATTGGTTGCTGGAATGAATATGGGACCCACATTCTGGAAAAAGATGGAGAAGCTTGCAAGGAAAGCCATGGGTATTGCAATTGTTGCTATGGGTATAGCTGCTCACCACATTATTCTTATGGTTGTAGGAAACGACTACTGGTTGGGGCTTTTTGTTAATGGGTCGGGCATTCTGTCCATGGTTCTCACTTGTGTATCCATCTTCATTCTAAACTCTTAAGTATGGGATTAGGGAGAGGTAGAAGTAGAACTTAATTTAAATGGGTGGGCATCAAAAGTCAAGTATTGATATTCTTCTAACATTTGACTAGAGAAAGCTTTGTGAATAACAAGTAACAACCTACTTTTATCCTATTCATGTTTTAGGAATTTTTGTGGAATTGATATTTATGGTCAACTTCTAATATTCTTCCATTTTAGTCAACCAATTACGGAAAAACATGCTTGTTTATAAAGTTTATGCGGTCGGGTCGGGTCAGGTTTGGGAATATGATACTGTTTTCACTTCCCACTAGGAACCTACTCCTAGTTTCTAACTATTTCCCTTGAGGTGGGCATCGTCTATAACAAATTAACAATCAATCGTCGCAAGCTTCTATGAAACATTTGAATACATATGAGATTGGTTACAAGATTTATTAAGATTTTAAAAAAAAAACTAACGCTCTAGATGTCATAATGAAAGTGAATATTTTTAGACTATTAGTAATACTCTCCACGACAACTATCGTGGAGAGATTCCAGATTAGCCTCCACGAGCCACGAACTCACTTCGGGGTACATGCGACGACCGGAAGAGAGGAACGAAGAGAGAGAGAGAGAGAGAGAGAGAGAGAGAGAGAGAGAGAGAGAGATGCCTAAGAGTGAAGAAAAAACAGATTGGTCTGTGGAATCCTAAGTCTAGTAGGATTTGGAGGGAATCCTAAGTCTAGTAGGATTTGGAGACTAAGTAAACTCGGGATTATGGCAAGTTGGTTATAGTTTCCTAATTGTATTCTAATTCAAGTTGGTAATTAGAATCTATAAATACATGTCTAGATCAGGTATAGGATCATAGAAACAGATTGTATCAAATATTGGTTTTGAGTTATTTTCTAATTAATCAAAGAGTGATAAAGAATTGGTATCAGAGCTACAATATCCTGCGACAGAAACAAAGACAAGTTATCTTAAGTAGATGCTGTTGAGACCGAAGGCTGTTGAAGATTGATTTTGATTCCTGTTGACGAGTTAGGTCAACATGTCGAATGCTGGGGGGAGATGGAGGAGCCGCTCCGATGAATGTGAAGGAAGTTGGATCCACCACAGTCGTATGTCCCATGCTATCATCAACCAACTATACTGTTTGGTCCCTACGAATGAAGGTAGTTCTCAGAATCCATAAGGCCTGGACTGTAATTGATCCTGGAAAAAGAAAAGAATGAAGAGAAAGATTTCCTTGTAATAGGATTGTTGTGTCAGGCAATCCCGGAGGATTTAATCATGCAAATTGGAGATGAGGAATCTGCCAAGGGACTATGGGAAGCGATTAAGGCGAGATATGTAGGTGCTGAACGTGTGAAAGAGGCCCGATTACAAACCCTAAACGCTGAATTAGATCGATTGAAGATGTTGGAGTCGGAATCAATCGATAGCTATGCCGAAAACTTATCTAGTATCGCCTCGAAATCAGCAACCCTCGGAGAAACCATTGATGAATCCAAGCTGGTAAAGAAGTTTCTGAAAACTCTTCCTAGGCCGAAATTCATCCAAATCGTTGCCTCCCTTGAGCAAGTCTTAGAACTGAAGACGATGGGATTTGAAGATGTCGTCGGAAGGCTCAAAGCTTACGAAGAGAGAATTAGGGAAGAAGATATCAGTGAGGCAGATCAGTCGAAGGTATTGTTTGCAAAGAAATCAACTGGTTCTCACAGTGGAGCAAAAGGAGAATGGAATGGAACGAGTGGATCTGGGTCTAATTATGTGAATGGGACTGACGGGTCAAGTGGATTCGGATTCGGTGGGTTATCTGGGTCAGGTGGATCAAGCGGGGCCAAAGGGAATAATAGGATTTCTTAAAGTGGTAATCGGCCTAATCACCACAAGTCCAATTCCAATTTAATTCAACCCAATTCCAACAATTGCAAAAAATGTAATTGTTGTTGTGAGAAAAATCGGAAAAATAAGGAAAAAGACCGATCTAAGGTGATTTGTTTTCGTTGTGACAAACCCAGTCACTTTGCCTCTAAATGTCCGGAACGACTCCAAAAATTACAAGAAGGTGATTTTTCGGAACGTGACAACAACGATGAGTCCATATTTTAAATACTGATTGGGGTTGAAGAATTCTCTAGAAGGACTTAGAGATCAGGGGTGATTGTTGGAATCCTAAGTCGAGTAGGACTTGGAGACCAAGTAAACTTGGGACTATGGCAAGTTGGTTATAGTTTCCTAATTATATTCTAATTCAAGTTGGTAATTAGAACCTATAAATACATGTCTAGATCGAGTATAAGATCATAGAAATAGATTGTATCAAATATTGGTTTTGAGTTATTTTCCAATTAATCAAAGAGTTATTTTGGTTATTTGTGTTTTTTTGATCAAGATGGTCGTCCGCCTTCGTGCTCACCACCACAAATCACCACGACCACGAGCCATCACGAATTGGCGGGTAGTGTGCACTGTCGTGGTCTGTGGCCACGTCGACAACATACATTTTCGTTGCCAGTATACCGGACGGCCTTATGCAACCAACACCAACAAATAATATAGCTATAACCAATACTTTTCATCCATCTTTATGTGTCATAGCACACTCTAGACGTAGATGTGGAAAACTATGGATTGGATCTGATTTAGATGATGTCATTTGCGATTTGACAATGATCTCATCTGGTTTGAATTTGGTTTTCCCCAAACAATTTTGGACATGTTTGATTTAGTTTTATTGATTTAATCTGGTTTTGGAAAATGCTGCTACCTAAACGCTAATTTATCATCACAATCACACCATATTGAACTAGATATGCCCACCACATTACACCTTCATTTTCAATAAAAAGAATAAAGAAATTAAAATATTGGATTTCAATTAAATTTAAAACATTACGGGAAAATTCCATAGCATGGAAAATGTTAAATTATTTTAAATAAAAGAGAAAATTACATAGTAGGAAAAATGTTCAAAATTCGCATGTGCCCATGGTAACCATCTTAGAGAATCACGGAAATTATACCGAACATTGATATAAGGAAAAATATTTACGGTTAAGTTGGAATTCTTGGTATTGTTTCAACTCCACACTGATGACTTCAAAATCGTTACTTCTATTTGGATGTGTGTTTTTGAGGTCGTTGTAAATGTTGTTGAACTCGATTATGTTTAACCTCATCGTGCAATTGTAACGAAAGCCCGTCGAGATGTCGATAAACACATTTTCCTATTTCGTTGTGGAAATGGTTTCAAATAAATTGCCATATGGGTTCTCTTCTTTTGAAGGGGTTTTTAGATACCAAAATACAAGAACGAGTTAAACCAGTTTCTTTTTTTTTCCTCCCAAAGTTGTTAGGTTTGGAACATTGATGGTTGTGTAAATTGTTCCATGGTAAGAACTTTGATGGCACCTGGGATGGCGTGCACAATCATGGTTCACCCTCACTGGCCACGAATGTACCTCATGGCTTGTATACCATACGACCTTATTTGAAATTGGGCTTTAAAGTTGCATTACAAGAAAAATGACATACCGCCGTAGTTTTTAAGGCCTAAAAATGTGACCATATCGTATAGTTACATTTATTTATTTCTTTATTTGTTAAAAGTGTGACCGTATTTTGTGACAACATAGTTATCTTACGGCCACGTTGACATTTAACATTTAAGTATGGCTATAACCTACCTTTTAGTCATATATAAAGTTAGCCGAGTTTGTGTTAACCATGGTTAGTTTATATTTGATATAACTATTGTTTATCCTTTAGTCACATTAATTTATGTTAAAGCGTCACGTATGATATCATTTATTCACATAGAGAAAACTAATAAAGAAAATAATATGATCAAATTTTGGTATTAGTGATACATAATTGTTAAAATCATCGTTGAATATTATTTATAACAATATGGTAATTTGTTATCATTCAGTGACATTCATTTACGGTGAAGTGTGACATATAAAATCCTTTAGTCACACAAACAAAACACATAAAGAACAAAATCTGACCAGTGTTTGCTTTTCGTGATACATAATTGTTAAAACCATTACTAAATAGTAGGTATAGCAACACATTTTTCTAAATGATGTGGCTATTTATAACCCTTTAATGACACTTATTTACGATAAACTGTGATGTATGATATCATTTAATCACATAACGATCACTTATCAATAAAGAATGTGACAATTGTTTGTTTTTGACGATACATAATTGTTAAAACCATTGCTCTATATTAGTTATAGCAACACATAGTTTCTAAATGATGTGACTATTTGTTACCTTAAGCTACATTCTTTTATATAAAAACGTAACGTATGATATCATATAGTCACATAAAAAACTTATAATGAAAAAATGTGACTATTGTTTGCGTTAGGTGATACACGATTGTTACAACCATCATAATTTTTCTAATTGGTGTGGCTATTTGTTACCCTTTAACCACATTTAATTTTGTGAGCATGATCCTAATTAACATTTGATCATGTTTATGAATGGAAGATGACAATATTAAAATTTTGCAAATACATATTATAGGAGTAAATAAATAAAAGAAAATAATGTTAATCTTTAATCCAAGTTAAATGGTATAAAAAAATGTTGTAATCACAATATATCTACCGTGTATACAAATCGGAATGAAATATAAGTCAAAAACTACAACGAAGATCTTGTTACTGTTTTATCTTGTTAACAATGCTCCTTGTTTTTTTATATCTTGAAGCGTCATGAAAAAAACATCCGTTATTAGCATTTTCCTACATAGAGTAAGACCAAGCTATCATCCATAGTTTTGAAAGACATCGATGTCTCCTTATGCTAATGATATACGAAAAAAGAAGTTAGAAGAAGGATATATCATTTTCAAACATGAATAAAAATCTAGAACATGTGAGTCTATCTATGTATCAACTGTATTGCAAATTAACCAAAAAGTACCATTATTGACATTTTCCCTAATTTAGGATCAAATGGAAACTATTAGTTATAGAAAAGTACCATCTAACTTTTTAGTCTCGATTATATAAACACCAAGGCCTTGAGTGTGACTTGTTATAAGAAGGCATGCAAGAACTTATGCTTTAAATTTGTAAGACTAAGGGGTATGGTTACTATATTCTCACTACAAAAGTGATGCCCTATCAGCGCCACATCATCTTCACTACATCCTTACTACCACACCACTAGCCTT